AAGCCACTTGTTCAAGAGTTTCTTTCATATTTCTGAGCTCGAAGCTGGTCTTGATCTTAGCCCCTGGAATTCATGCATACTTCTGGGTAAAAAGCAAAAATCCTTCCAGGTAAATCTCCTGTCATTTTTATTTATTTATCTTGATTTTTTAATTAAACTTGGTGGCAAGTCATTATTTTTTATATATGTTCGTACTCACTGGGGTTATAGTATCCGATTTATGCTAAAAAAGAGATCAAGAGCAGCAACAAGCAAGCAAGCTCTAATGTCACAGCATAGCTCAATCCCATCTCCAGCAGACAAGTTCAGAAAACCCACTTCATTTCCGAAATTGCTAACCGCCTTCACGTTCAAGAACTTCTCAGAGACGTCAGAGGTAATTATGAGCCCAACTTCAATTCTTGATAGCAAGCCCTTCTCAGGCCTCAAAAACCCCTTCTGGCCTGACTCAAACCCCAGTCCTAAAACCCCGGAACCTGAGACCAGGCGCCACTGGGACAAACTAGACTCCAAAGGCATTGGCCTTGGCATTGTTGATGCTCTTGATGATGAAAAAACTGACTCCAATTTGTCGAAACCGGAAAGCAGAACAGTTCTGTTTGGCTCACAACTGAAGATCCAAATCCCTTCCTTTCCCCCATCATTTCTTTCACCAACAGATCAATCTCCCAAATCTCCAGGTGAATTTGGTATTAAAACAAGAAACTCTCAATTGAGTTCTTTCTCTTCTGGGTATTCCCCTTCTCTAGTGAAAAAATCATTATTCGGATCAGCTAATTCGGGTATAGAAACTCCTAATTCTCCCCGGGTCTTCGCCGGGTGTCTTTCTGCTAGTGAAATGGAGCTATCTGAGGATTATACTTGTGTAATAACTCACGGGCCTGTTCCAAGAACTACTCATATTTTTGACAATTGCATTGTCGAGAGCTGCTGTGGTGTTGCTGGCTTCTCTACTTCTTTAAAGAAAGACAATAATAGATTTTTGGGTGATGGATCAAGTTACCCGCCTAATAATTTCTTAAGCTTCTGCTCTGCTTGCAAGAGCAATCTTGAGCAGGGAAAAGACATTTACATGTACAGGTTAGTTCAACCCCCGCATGTTTCTGCTTTCTTTCCTCATGATTTACGTGAAAACTATGCTAAGCTTGTTAAAATACATCTTAAACATGGAAATTTGGCTCAAACATAGTAATATAATTGTAAAAATTTAACAAATATTCCATCAGTAAACCTGCATATATCCTTTTCTTGGAATCTCAAAACTATTTCCTGTTTTGGTAGGTAAAGATCTTGAACTGAAAGAATACGAATATCTCTGGCATTTGACTGTCCTGCTATGATTTATTTATAGCACTTCAACTGTTTTATTTCTAGTTTCATCTCCGATTTCATACCAGTAAAATGAAGCTTTCTTTGAATGATTTAATTCTTTTTCCAGAGGGGAGAGAGCATTCTGCAGCAGTGAATGCCGGTACCAGGCGATGCAGTTGGAGGAGGGAATAGATGGAGTGGATCCAGATGATGCTTAATTATGGAACTTGTTCCTGATACTAGTTTTCATAATTTTGTGCAGCCTTCCTTCCCTGAAAGGTGGACCAACCCAGGAAATAAACCGACTGCTCTCTTATAAGGGTGACTTTGTAGGACTACTACCTGATTTTTGTTTCAATTGGAGAAGGATGTAATTGATAAAAGCGTGAGCAAAGATGGTAGGAAATTCAATGCCATGCTCGAATCTGTTTTCATGTTTTCTCCTTTGTTTTTTCACTTCATTACTCTCCTTGTAGAACCAGACAGCGACCCGGAGGCTGAAATGTGGCCTGTAAATTTGATTTTAATGAAGTGATAATTTTGGTGAATGATGTTTGGTTTGGCCACAGCGTATGGCTTTGAGCTGGTGTGATGATGATGTGTAACTGAAGCTTACCTTATCTTTATTTTATATTACACTGTACCTGTAATTTATTAAACACATAGCCCCTGTAGCAGATTCTTTTCTTTTCTGCGTCCTCTTCCCCATCTTCTTATTAATAATGTTATTGCTGTCAATACTTCCTGAATAAATAATTCCTGCATTAATTAGTGAGAGTCTGTCGCCCAATGACGAAAGCAACCCTTATAATTATCGAAGGGAACACTTCCAAGGGAATAATTCTCTGTTCTTTGCTATGCTCAGATATCAAATATATTAAATTATTCAGTGATGGATTGAATATAGATCTTATATTATGCTATGCTATTAGTAAAACAACTTGAATTAATATTATTATTAAGAACATAATTTTAATTAAACATTCTATTAAGAAATAAAACTTAAGAAATCCTAAGTGAATTGTTAATAAATAAATTATTTCTAAAACACACACACATGTCATAAGAAATAAAAACAATGATAATGAAAACATTACATTGTTTGTCTTTCAATAATTAGAACCACTAAATAATTTAATTAAAATATATATAAGCTAATAACTAGTATACTTACAAAAAAATAATTGAGATTATTTATTAACAGTGTAATTAAATATTAATAATATAAAATCCTAATAAGCGCAACTTAACTTATCAATTTCTGAATTTATTTTTGAGTTTACAAACCTTAAAATCATTAAAAACTTATATAATTATTAATTTTAAAATCTATAAAATTAATTAAAATACATAAACTTATATAATTATTAATTTTAAAATCTATAAAATTAATTAAAATACATATAACTAGCACAGATGTACACCTCAGTCTAAAAAATTATCAGTAGCCTGAAAGCAGGGTGGGTTGCCTTCAATAATGCTGGACAAGGTAAAGGTATGATCTTTATATACCTAAGCTATCTAGCCTTGCACCAGCCTGTCACGAGCAGGATCTCGTTCCTTTCAAGTGCCTTAAATTTTTTATCCTGGATGTAGAATTATTGGCTTTTCAGCAGAAACGATTGCCCTGGTGATGGTGCTTTAAATGGAGGAAAGCAGACCAGTTCGATATGCATCTTTCGTGAGGATCAGCATCTAAAAAAACAGAGTCGATGGTCTCATTAGGCGAGGAAGGATGGCCATGATGGCACAGAAGGATGTAATGACAATAACCAACAGCACAAGGAGTTTTGCCATTAAGAAAAATTTCATAAGGCACCAAAATGTGCGGACTGGAGGATTATTTCTTTAAAACAAGTTATTTTCAAAAACAGTTGAGTACAAAACTACTCTTTAAAAATACATTGAGTTCAATATTATTTTCTAAATATTTTTTCATATCATTCTTTCAAAATTTTTACTAAACTGTGTTAAAAACATTAAAAAATAATAATATAAAAAAAAAGGTTTCGAACCAGGCGAGGCGGTCCTGCCATCAGAACTGCGTGCTCTCTGCCAGTGTGGCTAGTGGCGAGACCTGATAAGGAATCAAATTAGGACCAGAGACCCTTCAGTCCAGGAGAGTTGAGACCCGGGAATTTCTATGTTCTTGTAGATGTGACAGCATTGTGGTACCGGTTATGCTTTTTCGTCGCCTGTTACAGGCATGTAAGGGATTTAAATGATGCTCTGTCTTGTTTTTTCTGTTAATGTTCTCCGGTTGTGTTACATCTTGACTTGAAATGAGTACAAAGCTTCATGATAAATTTTCCCGTATTCTTATTTTTATTTTTTGCAGGTGTTTTTATTTTAGAGTTAATATATGATATTTTTAACCCTTTGCTTTGTATTTCTAAACTATCATGCTATCAAATCAATATAGAAGAAAATTAATTAAAATGTTTTGTATAGTTTTTGGTAATTTATCGTAAATAAAAAGGATATTAAGATCATACAGTATGGTGAAATAAATTAAAAATATTTTCAAAACACATCTTAAACATAGCATGTAATTCATGTGTATCCGTGATATGTTGCAGGGCTTAATTTTTATTTTTTGTAAGAGAATAATGTCTAAGGGTTGAGAAAAACAAAAACAAAAAAAAGAAAAAAGAAAAAAGAAATTATTAACCGGAAAAACTAAACAGAGATTTTTTTTTGAATTAATCTCTATTAAAGAAAGAAAAAAGAAACCTAGTTTAATTTAGTTTCTGTTTTAATAGCTTGAAATTGATTGAAACAGATCAAACACCACTGAAAAAAACAAATATAAACATTAAATTTTCTTCTGGACCCTAAAATAAACCCAAAAACAATCGCCCCTAGATTTCTGTCTGTCGCCCGCTTTTTCTGTCTCTTGGTCGCTCTGTTCTTCCTTGATAGCCTTAGTCTCTCTGTCTTATCGATCTACCCCCACCAATTTATTAGAATGGGCAACAATAACTTTTCTTTTTTCAACTTTTTTTTATTCTGGAGAATTCTTGGCTTTAGAATTTGCAATTTTATTGAATGATTTAATCATTGTCGTGTTGATCCTTTTGTTCTTTTAATCGGGACTCCTCCTTTTGAAATATGAGCTTTCTCTGAAATTGGCCCATTCAGACCCAGTGGTGGAGGGCTTCTGGTCAGAAATGATTGTGGTTGGAATAAAGTTGCTTATTATTGTTAACTCTGTCAATTTAAAGGCAATGTTTTGAAAATAATTTATTTTTATTTTTTAATGTGTTAATATTAATAATAAATTTTTTAAACAATATATTATTTTACAAGTAAAAATCATTTCGGTAGGAAGATTTGTTGGGTATAAACCAAGTTGATATCAATCTTCAATTCTTGTGTTATTTGATCTCCTAGGATGTAATACCCGACACAGGACCTCTCATTAATCCTAGTAGAAGTTGTTTGCCTAGATAACATAGGACTGGTTTGAACTAATTTCTTGTTCGCTTCGGTAATTCTAAAATGGTTATTTACTTTAAATGAAAATCAAACTGAAAATGCTTCTAGCTTCAACAGACCTGAGTAGCTCGTTCACAATTTTATCCTCTCTTACCTTGTGTCGCCTCCCAGATTGACGGAAACGCTGTCCCTTGTCTCTAAAAAAAAAAACTCGCCGGGGACCACGTCGGAAACTAGCCTGGGGGGAGGGCATGTCTGTTGATGTAGCCATGCCCACGCCGTCTAATCAGCGTGACAAAAACCAGGGCTCGTTTTTGAATTCGACGGGTAGCAAGTCTATCCTCCAGAATGACGATCAGAATATGTCTATAGTGATTTCGTGTTTCTTTTGATATCCCAAAATCAACTCTCCCTGCACTTGCCGACTTCTGTCTTTAAGATTTAACGGCTACTTAAGTTGATAGATTAAGAGACATTTCAGAGATTAAACATGAATTTAAATTAAAAAAATCAGATCAATTGACATTCATCACGAGCTAGAATTTAGGGTTTTCAATCTTAATAATTTAAAAATTCTAAAAAATTTTAGGATTCATAGAAGCTTTTCGTGTAGATAAGATATCGTATTTAGCACACCTGTGTTCATGCTAGATTTTAACAGAAGACGTTGACGGAGAGAGGGGTATACCTATTACTATGCCTAAAAGCAGATTTATATCACCAGTAGAATAGGCTTTGGTGTGGGCTTGTCACCATATAGCAATTGTGTATTTTGTTCAAGGTGTCTTGGGCCTTGCCAGGCTCGCCGTCAGTTTTTACGCGATTAGATCCTGCTGAGGTATGCTGTCCTGCATGTTTTATATATCATAATTGATTGCGAAAATAGTTAATAGTAGAGTTTTTATCCGGTTAATGAACTTGTTATTTTTGTTTTCTCACCGGTGGTCCATCTTTCTCTTCAATTTGATGACTGTTATTTTCATGTGTTGTTTTATTATCTGAGCGCAGACAAGGTTCAAGGCAGAGCCGGCTCGAGTACACGAGCATTTTGACTCTTTTTTAATATAAGAAATATTTATTAATTATATTTTATAAAATAAAAATTGTTTTTCATTAATAAATTTTTTTTAATACAAAATAAAAATTGCTCAAAACTTTTACCTTTTATAAACATAAAAAATAAAAATAAAATATTTTTTAAATAGTTTAAAAAATTTCATTTATAATTTTATTCAAGTTGTTTATAGGTTTATTAGGTGAATTTTACTTATTGTCTATATATTTTACTTTTCCCTCTCGATTCATTAGGAGCAGGTAACCGTTACATTTCTGCATATCTTTCAAGTAATTTTTTTTTTCGTTGCAGTGATTCTGTTCCACTCTTTGGTTATCGAAGGTCATACTTGTTCTTTCAGGACTTCTTGGTGCACTTTCTTGGAGTTTGATGTCTAACTTTGTTGATAGCAAGTACAGTGCTGCCTTCTCTAAACTTCTTGGATCCCTTTCTGTTGCCTTCTTGGATCACTTCTTGGAGTTTGATGTTGTCAGTATCTTCAATGCCAGGAATTTGTTGAAAAACCAGGGTGCATATGCTCATCAATTTTAGGGATTAGTTAAGAATCTATGGTTCCTTGGCAGAATAAAATGTGTTTATGACTGAATGTAATGGTACCGGTTTAATTGTTCATTAAAAGAAGCTAATGCTTCAAAATATAGAATTAATTAAGAGCTAATTGGAATTTTGTTTTGCATCAACACGATGCCAGCAGCTGACTACCTAACAGGGTCAAACTCAGGTTTACCCCTTTCTTGAATGATATGGTTGTGGGCTGTAGTTTAGGGGGGTGGGGGGCTTGCAGAACTGACCAGAAAATTCATGTGAGGCTGGTGCTATGCCGACGAAGACAAGTTTTTTTATGGTTTTAAGGATATTGATTTTCATCTCCTGTGGGTTATATCAGCTATCTTTGCCGTCAGTGTGTGCTTGCCAAGAAAAGAAATTCTGAAGGTAGAGGCGTAGGGTACCCTTTCTTGAAAGGCAGAGGCTAATTAAATGACAGTGATTTGCATTTAAATTGGCTTATTGTGTAGGTTGTGGATTCTGTGGTGGTAGAGAGGTCTCGTGGTGAGTCACGGCGTGTCAAGATCTCTTCAGTCTATATGTTGGGGGTAATCGGCTTTTGGTGGGATTGTGAGCTCTTACTTCAGGGGCTCTCTGGTAGATGCTTATGGTGTAAGGTGCATGAAGGCGGTTTGGATAAATGTAATCTCTTGGTACTAATGACAATTAAATTAATCAAACAAGTGCTGATTTCTTCAATCTCAGGTTTGTTTTTGGTGTTACAGCGTTGCTACCTCTGATAACATCTGCAGTTGCTGTTCCTGTGTTGCAAGTTGGATTTCAAGGGAACCAACCAGAAGAGAGCCCAGGGAGTGAGCTAGGGTGGCAGAGTGCCCTTCCAGTTAACACAGTATATAGATAGGATAACAGAAATGTGACAGGAGGAAGAAGAAGACGAGGAAGAAGAAGACGAAGAAGAAGGAAGCAGAACACGAGAATTGTAATTCATTTCATCATGCCTTCTTCTGTTACAAGCTCCGTTACAAATATAGCTGATGATATATTCTAGAATAACACCAAGCCTTGGTTACACGTGTCCAAATGATAGTGAGAACAACTGAAATGAACTACCACAGGTGCCGCGTGTTGGCTAGTGGCTTCTTGTATTTAAACGGTGCGTGTTGGCTGGTTGAAAAAATGCAAGTGCTGAAAACGCCGCTGTTTCAATAACGGTCTTCTGTTTTAAATTTCTTCTCCCGACAACGGTGCTCCCTGAGTTGCAACATCTACTTGTGAAAGAACAGCGTGTGCTTGGTTCCACAAGTGGAGTGAATCTTGCTTTGACTGGTCCTGGTTTCCAGGAAAGCTCAAAGCATCATATTATTCAGTTGTGATTACCATTACTCCTTATCTCTTCAGTCCAATGTGTTCTTTCCCACATTATTTATTTTCCTGTGGCAGGCAACACCGCAGTACTCCTTATCGTTTAAATTTTTGTTCTCTACTCAAGAGATCTGATTGCTTGTGATATCTAAAAAATTCTGTTTCCAGCACATATAAAATTGGTTTTACCCCAGAATTTCTTGGACGCGTCAAGCTTGTTACCTCAGTTGCATCATTGCTTGGGGTTGGGCTGTATAATGGATTTTTGAAAAGTGTTCCTTTGCACAAGATCGTGTCATGATCTACTTCTGTTCAGGCTAAGCGGTGGATGATTGTGCATGTTTAATGGATTCTATTAGATGTATTCATTCTTTTGCTAATGTTTTCTCTCGGGTTTTCCTTGTTACTGGTTTACACAGAAAGTTTGGGATAAGTGATGGGTGGTTTGCTACTGGAGATTCTTTGATTCTAAGTGTCCTTGGCCAGGTAACATATAGACCTCTGAAATTGTTAGTTCTCTGCATGTGGCATGCCAATATTTAATGCGGAAGACAAGCGTTTTATGCCTGGACGCTTTCTACTCCCAGTTCATGGAAGCTTTTTGTCTCTTTTTTTCTTATTTGGGGGGTGGCGGGTGTTATGGTTTGACATTTACAGTGATTTTGAGCATTTCTTTCTACCAAGTGTGTTCCAAAAGGACCAGGAGTTATCCTAATACATCCGCTTTAAGGAATGGTTTTAGTTATTAGATGGATATTTAGTTCCTTATGTTTGTGTTGTTAGCAGGATCATTCTGTTGTGGCATTGTGGAGGTTCAGGCATCCATTTCATTAACATGAGCTATATACGTTTTCTTTAGCTGCCGATTTTCACATGTCATTTTTTTTTTATATATTTCTTATCTCGTGCAAGGTTGATCTGCAAAAGTCATACACCGAAGCAGCTAAACTAACGAACTATTTAGTTTGCAGGCTTCTTTCATGCCAGTTCTTGTGCTAGCAGCGAATTAGTTATGTCCAGAGGGCATGGAAGCGACACTTTTTGCAACCCTTATGTCCATTTCAAATGGAGGGAGTGTTCTTGGAGGCCTGATTGGTGCTGGTCTGACTCAATTCTGATGTCATTTCAAAGGAAAGTAGAGATATAGAGATGAAGTACAATTGAACCTGGGATGATTGTTTCCTAATTATCCAGTGCACATGCACGCTTCATCTTTCAGTCCGTGGTAGTGACCCTGCTAGGAAGCTTTTTGCTTGGCTGTAGATTACATTTATTACAGAGGGAGATTCTGTACATGTCTCGAGGTTGAATACGCAAACAATAGAGAGATTATCCAAGTAGTCTTTAATTATAGGGACCTCAGCTAATAGAATGTAACAAGCGCGCTGTAATGTAATGGTGGAAGAAATTGCCTTGCCTCCTGCCCGGCGGTTGATGCGTTGAGCCCTAAGTGCAACCTAGCCAGGCCTAGTGGCTTCCAAGGTCGATATTAAGTTGGGCTAATGTTATCGGGTCAACGTCTTTGATACAGGCTGCTCAACGGGCCATCGCCCTTAAACGCGAGGCAGGGCAGAATGGTGCTAAAAAGCCTGGCTATTGACTGCCCTTATTGCCCTCTTAAATTATATCATTCGACCCTTCACATGCTATAAAGTGAAGAGGGGCCAATAAAATAAAAGAGAATAAGAAAAGAAATTTGAACAAGTTCCCACTTCCCGAATAGTGGAGTAGTTATGTCGTCCCGAGAAAATTCCATCAAAGCACACCTGCTCGTAAAAATAATAAAGGGGGCCTTCGACCCTTCACAGATGCTCAGTCAATGTGACTGTGGCATTGTTTTGGTCGGGCAACTTGCAGAATAAAACGACAGTTTTTTGTGATTTTTTGTGGGGGGCACCACCCTGAAGAGATCCGAAGTTCTGTTAGATGCGGCCGAAGATTAACCCATTCATGGGTAAGGGCCGCTGACCATGCGGCAGACTGACTGAGTGCTCAACGTGGTACGGTCCTACAAAATACAAATTATCATATCCTCCCCTGTTTCCATCTGTCCCAAGACTCGCCAAGAACTGAAAATTGGGAACCTCAATTAAGAATGTGTTTTTATACACGGCAGCGGCTACATTTTGAAAAAAACCACAAAAATAAATCTTTTGGTTACTGTAAAACACTAATAATTGTTATGGTGAGGAATGGCCTGGTTAACCAATGCTGCCTCCTCTCTTCTGTTCTTTGTTCTTTGTGCTTATTGGATTCTCTTCTCCTCTGCTTCTCTCTCTGGTCTGGAGGATATAGTTGAAGATGATTTCCTTCTCTTTTTCCTTCACCTTTAAACTACTTCCTTGTCTTCACTGTCCACATTGCATATAAATAATGGAGTGTGACCGGCATTCCCCTTCACTACTAACCAGCACTACTCTTCCCCTGCACTGCTCTTCACCCTTTTTCTCTTCGCCTTCATTTGGGCTGTTCTCCGCTGTTAGTCAGATTGGATATGTGTTCCCTCGATCCGATGTGATATAGTAAAATAAAAATTTTAATAAAAATTTTTAAATATTATATTTTATTAAAAAAATAGTAATTAATAATAATCATACTACATAATTTTTTTAAAAATAAACTATTTGATGATATAATATTTACAGAATTTAATTATTATTCAAATTTTATTTTGATAATATTTTTCTTGATATTATTATATAATCAGGAAGTTATGAAAACTATCAGATAAATAATGGAATTACAAATAATTTAAAGAAATAATAATTTTGATATTGTTATATAATCAAGAAGTTATGAAAATTATCAGATAAAATTCATATATAATAGAATTACAAATAATTTAAAGAAATAATAAAAAATATTTTATATAAAATATTATTTATTTTATGAAATAATAGTAGTAGTTAAGTTTATAATATTGAAATTAAAAATCATTAATATAAATATATATATTTTATTTTATAATTTTAATTTTAAAAATATTTTTTTATTTTATAATCTCAATTTCAAAAATATTTTTAACTAAATATATTAAATTATTTTTTATTTAATCTTAATTTTAATCATATTTTTAATCAAATAAATATAAATATTAAATAAATCTTAACTAAAAATATTTTTTATAAATTAATATTTTAATATAGTACTACTTTTTAGCATCAGAACCAGAGGCACGTCATAAAAGCATCCATGGCCCATCAAGCTAACACAAATAGAAGAATGTGTCGGTGTAAATTGCTTTTTAAAGAATTTTTTTTAAAGTATAATAAAATAATAATTTTTTAGATTTTTTTATTTTTAATATTAATATATCAAAATCATTAAAAAATATTAATTTAATATTTTTTCATATTAGAAATATACTCAAGTACATGTAAAAATACAACCATGCACATCAATTTGAGTAAAACTTCGTCGCTAGGATGCATAATTGAAAGCTTAAATTAATTCCACCTCCTGGCTCTTTGTGTATGGTATTATGCCCTAGAGAGCTTTTGCCTTTGGTTTGAACATGTTTATTCCAGTCGAAATCAATCAAATTAACAGTAACTGAGTTCTGGTTCCGATGAGTCCACTGTCTCAGATATTCCCAATTAGTTTTTGTTCTCGAAAAACAACCCTTTTCAAATTGAATATCAAGTGGCTATACAAATCATCCATGAGCTCTTTAAAACTCCATTTTTTAATGAACTAAATCAAGTTTAAGCTAATTATCTCAAATCTTGAAGGTGATATAATGGATAACGCACATATTGTCGAACTGAAACTGAATGCTTCGCTCCGCGTAGACCAGTAGAGATCACTTGGCCTGGCACAGAGATGCGTGTGAATATTTATATCTCTTGCATGCTACAGTATGTGTGTGTGCATGTATAGCAGAAGCATAGCAACTTTCAAAAACCGATGGTTATACCAGTCTAGGATCTCCATTGATCATCAGGTAGCAGAGCGATCACGAAGTCAACAGTTTTGGAATAGGTGGAGATGGGAGTTGAAATAGTTGTTGAGTCGCTAATGATTGAAGCAAATTTAATAACAAAAGGCCGAGCAAACACATGATACTGCGAACAGATTGAATAAATAAAGAACTGCACAACCACAAAAGTTTCACATCCAATCATTGCAGGCCCATGGTTCTGTTTGATCCGCTACGTTCTTAATTTTGAGGTCTGTTTTGTTCTTCTTTTGTAAATTAATGTTGAGTTTTGATAGATAAATAATAGCCATGTTGATCTTGAGGTGTAGATAAGGTGATTAAGGATATTTCTTTTCTTTTTCAGTTCTCTAATCTGAGCCTTCTATCCAACGTTAAGGAAAATTTAATATCACTCGGTAGACCAAAATAATATAAAAGATTTATTTCTGAAGTGACATACAAACAAAGATCTGGTCTTAATTAATATATAAATTGATATTTTAAAAATACCCCTACTTCTTGAAAAATAAATAAATTATAAATTTCGTTAAATAATTAACCATGTTTATATATATATATATATATTTTTAATTATTTTATATCAATTTAGTGCAAGGTGCTGATTGGCTGGATATCATGGGTGCAACAAAGTTTTTATTTAGAAATATTTGAAAGTATAATAGCAATTATTTTTTAAAGTATTTTTTATTTTAAAATGTATTAAAATAATATTTTTTATTTAAAAAAAATTATTTTTAACATCAACATATTAAAATGATCTGAAAATATTAAAAAAAAATTAATTTTTTTAAAAATATTTTTAAAATATAAAAATATATATAGATACTTAGAAAAAGTCATATGCTCCACATAAAAAAATCCCATTTACTGAGGTCTTTTTTTTTTAACTGTACAACGTGTTTCATTCAGGAATGGACTATTTTTTCTTTGTTTTTTTAATTTGATTTTTTTATCTTTGCCTCTTTTTTATTTTTTAATCTTATTTTTAATATTGAAATTTTAATTAGTTTTATCATATGATATTAAATTTATTATGATTGATTTTTATATTTTTTATGATGTAATAAAATATAAAAAAATAAATTTAATTTAATAAATTTCATAATTCAAGTTACAAGTTACCTTAGTTGAATATGTTTTTTTTTTGTTTTTCAAGATTTATCTTATAAACAAAATTATATAGAGCTAACTCTCATATAATTTAATTTAAAATTTAAATTAAATAAAAAGTTAGAGTAAAACAATTTTAAATTTAAATTATTATACCAAATTTAATAATAATGTGAAATATTTTTTCACAATTTAGATGTTATTTCTTAACGCTCAGTTTTTTTTAATCAAAGCTTCAGCAGAAACAATATACGTAAATAAACTAGTACCAGCTAATTAAATGAGTGTTTTTTTTCTTTAAAAAGGCTCTACCAAATTCAAGAAAGCCGTACTAAATAAACTCAGGCAGCAGTGCAAAATTAGACAAATTCACTTTACATGGCAGGAAAAAAAAAACCCAGTTAATTAGTGAGATCATTATTCTTGTACATTACTGTATTTTGAAGGACAATTATGATAATGGAAGACAATTGGCAAATCGGAGAGCATAATAATGACTGAGTAGAGAATTTGGATATGGTCAAGCAAACAGCACAGCAACTTATTCTTAATGGGAGGAGGTGACAAGAAATCCTTGGCTGTGAAGAGAAATGCATGTGGGATGCCATGTGAAGAGCATTGAATTTTTAAAAAACTCAAACTCCCCACTATTTTCCTCTTCTTTTTCTTTCTTTCTCTCTCTTTTCTACACTGCCTCCATAAGATCATGGAGAAACCAAACAAAATCCCATGTGAAGAATCATTGACCCTCAGAACAGTGGATATAGAGCTAAAATCCATATGTTGGAAATGGGTGGGGCAGGGAGGAATTGGTAACCATGTATTATTTTTGCATTTAATCGGGTTTTAAAATTTTTTAATTTTTTTTAATATATTGATATTAAAAATAATTTTTTTAAAAATATTATTTTATATATTTTCAAGTAAAAAATATTTAAAAAACAACCATAATATAAAATATTATCTTAATCCAGTGATACACACACAGACCCCTAACAATCGTTTCCACGAGGGGAAGTAGGAATAAATTAACCGATGGAACATTCTCAACATCAGTTTGATTAATCA